GGGGTCTGGGGGTGTCCCTGTGCCCCCCAGGGGGGTCTGGGGGTGTCCCTGTTCCCTCTGGGGGGTGTCACTCTCCCCGCTGTGCCCCCCCGGGGGGGTGTCCCTGTCCCCCTAGGGGGGTCTGGGGGTGTCCCTGTGCCCCCGGGGGGGTCCGGGGGGTGTCCCTGTCCCCGCTGTCCCCTCGGGGGGTGTCCCCGTGCCCCCCCCGGGGGTCCTCACCATGCGGCGGGGTCGTACTCGGCCCAGACCCGCACGGACCCGCGGGGTTTGGGGGTGTCACTGTCCCCTCTGTCCCCCTCGGGGGGTGTCCCTGTCCCCTCGGGGGGGTCCGGGGGTTGTCCCTGTGCCCCCTGTCCCCTCGGGGGGGTCCGGGGGTTGTCCCTGTGCCCCTCTGTCCCCTCGGGGGGTGTCCCCGTGCCCCCCCCGCGCCCCCCCGGGGGTCCCTCACCATGCGGCGGGGTCGTACTGAGATCAGACCCGCGGGGTTTGGGGGTGTCCCTGTCCCCCCCGGGGGGGTCCAGGGGGTGTCCCTGTGCCCCTCTGTCCCCCTCGGGGGGTGTCCCTGTCCCCGCTGTCCCCCTCGAGGGGTGTCCCCTTGCCCCCCCCGGGGGTCCTCACCATGCGGCGGGGTCGTACTCGGCCCAGACCCGCACGGACCCGCGGGGTTTGGGGGTGTCACTGTCCCCGCTGTCCCCCTCGGGGGGTGTCCCTGTCCCCTCGGGGCGGTCCGGGGGTTGTCCCTGTGACCCTCTGTCCCCTCGGGGGGTGTCCCTGTCCCCTCGGGGGGTGTCCCCGTGCCCCCCCGTGCCCCCCCGGGGGTCCTCACCATGCGGCGGGGTCGTACTCGGCCCAGACCCGCACGGACCCGCGGGGTTTGGGGGTGTCACTGTCCCCTCTGTCCCCCTCGGGGGGTGTCCCTGTCCCCGCTGTCCCCCTCGGGGGGTGTCCCCGTGCCCCCCCGTGCCCCCCCGGGGGTCCTCACCATGCGGCGGGGTCGTACTCGGCCCAGACCCGCACGTACTCGTCCAGGTGATGCGGGCCCAGGATGGACGAGTCGCGCGTCAGGTACTCGAAGTTGTCCATGATGACGGCGACAAAAAGGTTCAGCATCTTTGGGGGGGGGTAGGGGACACGGGGAGGGG